GCAAATTATGGTTAGTGATGCATCTTGTATAACTTTGTATCAGAGGCATCAAAGGGGGGAATGTGATGGGATTCCAGCATGGTCAAAATTTAGTAGGCCGAAATCTCCACATGGCATATGCTAATTAGTATATGATTACAAACAGTTGGATGAGTCATCAGTATACTGAGCATGTGTGGAAGTGGATAGTACATTCCTTTGTCTGTAAATGCCATGTGGTCTGCCCATATAAGTTGATCCTGAATATCCTGTGTACTGATTGGTCTGAGGAATATAGGAGGGGTTATACTGTATGGGAGGGGATATGCTGCTAACAAAAGGCCTCTGCACCATGCTTTCTGCCTCTCAGATATTTTTGGAACAGTAGTTCATCTGAGACCCGATCGGTGTGTAAATAAACCTGAAGACTTGTGTCCATATCTCTATGTGTGTCTTCTGCAGTTTGTTCCTGTTATTCCTCCGGTAACATTTTTTGTGCATTGGGTCCGGGAACCTCATCGCACCGAAGCTGGCGCAGAGATTTGAGACGGTAAACTTTTACCAACGTTCTCCATGGCAGCACCCCTGAACTTCTGCCTGGACCTCCTTTCGTCTCGGCGCCACTGGCCTATTGTCAAGGAGATTGTCTGCCTGTGTGTGTGTGTGATTGTCTGCCTGTGTGTGTGTGTGACTGTTGCCTGTGTGTGTGTGTGTGTGTGTGTGTGTGAGTGACTGTCTGCCTGTGATTGTGGGTGTGTGGAGTGGACTGTGACTGTGTGCGTGACTGTCTGCCTGTGATTGTGGGTGTGAGTGACTGTCTGTGACTGTGTGTGTGTGACTGTGATTGTGTGTGTGTGTGTCACTGTCTGTCTCTGTATGTGTGTGTGTGTGTGTGTGTGACGTCTGTGATTGTGTTGTGTGTATGTGACTGTCTGCCCAGGACTGTGTGTGTGTGTCACTGTGTGTGTGTGGACTGTTCGCCTATGATTGTCTGTGACTCTGTGTGTGTGTGACTGTGTGTGTGCGACCGGTGTGTGTGTGACTGTCTGCCTGTGATTGTCTGTGTGACTCTGTGTGTGTGTGACTGCCTGTGTGTGTGTGTGACTGTCTGCCTGTGATTGTGTGTGTGACTGTCTGTGAAACTGTGTGTATGTGTGACTGTCTGCCTGTGTGACTGTGTGTGTGTGTCACTGTGTGTGTGACTGTCTGCCTGTGATTGTCTGTGTGACTCTGTGTGTGTGTCACTGTGTGTGTGTGACTGTCTGCCTGTGATTGTCTGTGTGACTGTGTGTGTGTGTGTGACTGTCTGCCTGCCTGTGTGTGTGTGACTGTCTGCCTGTGATTGTGGGTGTGTGTGTGACTGTCTGCCTGTGATTTTGTGTGTGTGTGTCTGTGACTGTGTTGTGTGTATGTGTGACTCTCTGCCTGTGATTGTGTGTGTGACTGTCTGTGAATCTGTGTGTATTTGTGACTGTCTGCCTGTGTGATTGCCTGCGTGTTTGACTGTCTGCCTGTAACTGTGTGTGAGTGACTGTGTGTGGGACTGTGTGCATCTAACAGTGAGCCGGCAGCCAGGATATGATGTCATTGCGGCCTCTGCGTCATTACAGGGCGTGCGATGGACTTGTGCAGGAAGAGCACAGAGATCCCAGCAGCAACCACTGACCACCAGGGACTGAGGATCCACTCCAGCCCTTCTAGAGCGAGGTAGGGAGGCTGGGTGGACCGCTTAATTATTAAATGTGTGTATGTATGTAATGTTTGTGTGTGGATGTGATTGTGTGTGTGATTGTGTTTATCTCTGTGTATGTGTTTAGTAGATAGCTCCCTTATTTGGTGTCCTTAAATATTGCAATCCCACATAAGGATAACAAATAAGGGATTTATCTACGAAACAACTGAAAATAAGAAAATAGCTTTTTAAATCTTGATCCTTTAGCTGTTTAGTAGATAGTTCCCTGATTTGGTGCCCGTATGTGAGATTTCCATATTTAAAGATACCAAATGAGGGTGCTGTTTAGCAGATATCTCTTTTATTTGGTGTCCTTAAATATGGCAATCCCACATAAGGATAACAAATAAGGGATTTATCTACTAAACAACTGAAAACAAGAAAAGGGCTTTTTAATCTTGATCCTTTAGCTGTTTAGTAGATCATTCCCTGAATTGGTGCCCGTATGTGAGATTTCCATATTTGAAGATACCAAATGAGGGTGCTGTTTAGCAGATAGCACCTTATTTGGTGTCCTTAAATATGACAATCCCACATAACGATAGCAAATAGAGGAGTTATCTGCTAAACAAAGATCGAAATTAAGAGGTGTCAGCCGGCCCACAACAAGAAATCTGGGTGGCTAATGTGAATTATATGCAAATGTGTAGTCAGATGCCAGCATGCAGAACACAGCATGCTGGCATCAGACAGCCAATGGCAGCATATTACCCCATCCCCTAGTGAGAAGTTTTACTGCTCCCCCTCCCCCTCCCCCTCCTGTTTTGACTGTGGTATCTTATGTGCCCCCCCCATATATATTGTTTCTAGAGTTGCAACGATGTCTGCATGTGTGTCAATGTGTTTCTGTGTGTGACTGTGTTTGTGTGTATATGTATCTGCATATGTGTATGTCCGTGTATGTGTATATGTGCAGACATCTAAAAATCTCGCCAACACTACACACAAATACACTCATGCATTTCAACGCCAACACTACATACAAATACACCGGTACATTCACTCACATATACTCCATACAAAAACATGCATGCATTCAAACACACAAACACTGCTCAGTGCTAAATACATAAAAACATTTTTGGGTTGTTTTTATATTTAAAGTTGAGGGGGGAAAGAGGGAGGCCAAAAATAGGACCCGCCCCAGGTGCCAAATGCTCTAGGTATGCCCCTGGTGAAGACAACCCCTTTTTGGATGTGTACAGAATTTTGTTATAAGATCTGTGTTTTCCACATTAAAATTAGGTGTAGTATTCTGCCATACACTTGTGTGGACAAGTACTGCCCTCCAAGCTTGTATTTCTGCTGTGTCCATTCCTTGTCATCATACCTGAGAAAAAACATTGCTCCCTGCTGAATTTAAAGCACAACAGTAGTGTAACTTAGGTTGAGTACTTCTTGAGCAGGCATTGTGGGCGTGTCATTACTGATTATCATAGAGAATCACTGGAGCATGGCCATTGGTGGACAGTCTGGCTGAAATACAGGAAGCAGGAAGATATGACATACAGTCGCATGAGGAGAAGAACATCTGATCAGTGTCAAGATGAAAACAGCTTATTATTACACTACTTAGGGAAAAAAGCATTTAGTGACAGTATGTTTACTGTTGGGGGGAGAATTATTTTTTTCTTATACTGTTCCTTTAAGTTTGTTTATTGTGCAACACTGACTTGAGAAAAAGTTTCCTGTTGAGGCTCAAAGTTTGAGTTAATAAAGCAGTGAAAAGTTTAATTTATTGTAAATGTCTATATGGCTCTATTACCTCCAAGATATATGATCCAATTTTTATGAATTAAACCATATAGACATTTTTTAATATTAATGAGTTGAGAGTTGGTAATGCTGAGGGTACATGCAAATTACAGGTGTAATACAGAATTTAGCCACAAGATGTTACCAACTGATTACTTTTAAAAATTATTTTACAGTGAAATGCTAGATAGAATCTCACCAGCAAAAAATAAATAAATTGAGATTTTGAGTTATAAACTCTTCTTCTGAGAGGTGTGGTCTGACTGCAATGGCCACAGGATGCATTTCTTGAGAGCTTCTCATGTACTCACTATTAGTCCTTGGCAAACTGCTCTCACAGCCTTGACTCTGGGGCAGGCACAACTGGCCAAGATCCCCGAATCGACAGACCGGCCTGAGAGTGTTTCTCGCGGTCACCGGGCAGCTGTCCAGCTGACATTCTTCATCGCCATTTGTGTGACCTAGCAGGTGTGGTGGAAGGTAAAGGCAGCTTGTCTCAGAGCTCAGCACAGGCAGGATATCAACAGTGTCGAAATGGTGCCCAGTCACCCCCCGCACCTCTCTGGTCCAGCAGTGGAGAACCTTGTCCCAACCCGGCAGATTCCCCAGCTGTCTCAGGAAGGTATTGCTGCAGGAACAGCTACCCTGACTCCGGCTCACCTAAGATGGCGTGCACCATGTGTACCCTCGTACAAAGCGGAGAGATGTCCCTTGTTATGCAACGTCTGGATGCCATTATTCTGATTCTCCAGACAGATCGTACCTACCCCATGAGCTGGCTGGGTGCTTGTGAATTCACTCTGTGGCCTTCGTCACCGACCGGTGAAATCCATCGCTAGCAGAGAGTGTCAGGATCCTATCCTGATAACCAAAGTTATTTTTCATTTTTTCTTTTATTTCTACAAATTCCAGTTTTTCACCACTAGTGGCCTCTCTAGCCACTAGTCTAACCACAGTTTCTCTCGCCTGCCTAGCATGATTACTAAATCTGCTATAAGAGGCCACAATCTGCTGAACAAATGGCCTTTACATTGAATGAATGAACTTGATGTTCACGCTGAGTGATCTTCTGATCCTGGCTCCTGTAGCAAAAACCTGCTATATTCTGAATAGCATTAAACCCAACCTGATTTATCCTATCAACCTGCTTTTTACCAAGAAGCTTGGGGACAAACCTGATCTACAATATTTACCTGCTTAAATCCACACTGGACTTCTTGCTTTATTTTAAACCTACTTTACACCTATCTAAATCTACGCAACCAACCTGGATAATACAAACATTCCTGTTGTTTGCAACTATCCTGAATGACCCTGTTACAACTACTGTATATACTCGTGTATAAGTCGAGTGCAGTTTTGTGACCAACAATTGTGAAATATGCTATACCTCGTGGATAAGTTGAGGGTAAAACTTGGGGCTATGATATTCTGTGATTTTTATAATTATATACACACACACTCATACAAACACACTAGTGGTGCAGGATTTAAGACCCCATAAAAAGCGCTGAATTAAAATGCACTCACAAAATGGTCATTGACTGCAGGCATATAAGTGATTTATAGATGAAAGGAGCTCAATCCTCTTCTCTTTTGTCCTTAAGAAGGATTTAAGAGCGAGACACAGTCAGGTGCAATTGTGGACGAAGTCCAATAGGACGAAACGCATAGGGCGGAGAGACCCATTCAGCACTTGAACTTCAACTGGTTTTTATTTATTTATTAAATCCCTCTTAAAGACAAAAGAGAAGAGGATTGAGCTCCTTTCATCTATAAATCACTCATATGCCTGCGGTTAATGACCATTTTGTGAGTGCATTTTAATTCAGCGCTTTTTCTGGTGTCTTAAATCCTGCACCATTACCTGCTATTTCTTTTTCCCAATTTGTAAATTGTATTTTTTGTATGTTTATCTAAAGAAGCCTATGGGATCTTCTTACAATCTATTTTCCTATTAGGGTAAATTATATTTTATATACTATTCTACCCACTGTGGTGAGCACGTGTGTTATTTATTTATTTATATTAAATATATATATATATATTTAATATATATATATACTTAATAACCTGTCTGGGGTATATTGCCTAACTTTCTATTATATATCCCTCAATATACTTGCCTATAATCTCGCTTATTGGTTCTGCTTTCACCCTTTGTCCTATATTTTCCTTTTACAGACGTTTTTCCTGTTACCTGTTTTGGGTATATTCCCTAAACCTCTATTTAATAATCTTCTTATTACTCTATATCCTGACACTGAGACATAGCATTCCTGGAATGTACAGCGCTATCAAAGAGGGATGACTGGCGTTGGGTTACCCCATGGCAGTCACTGGACTGCGTGCTTGATTCTGTGATGCTGGGCCTAAAAACCTTTCAGATCATGTCCTGCCCCAGAGGGGTAAAGGATGACCTGGATCTCCTACTGGTTTGCTATAACCCTGTCTACTTCCACATGGCTTAAACCTGTGCTACTTTTCTTCAAAACACCGAACCGTCATAGTATTTTTTTTTTCTTGCATTCTATTCTAGTGTATTCTAATCTATACAGTTTAATACATGCACATAGAAATGTTAAGCCTGAAATGCTTGATGTTTGATAACAGACCTGGGGGCCTCCTATCTGTAACGCTATTTCAACTTTTGTCTTGAAATCTTCTCTATTACCAAGTTTATTTCCAGTAAATCGTTTAGACCTTCACATTTAGCCTGAACATAATGATACAAAAATGTGTTGTATATTTAAAATGCTCAACTGTTATGGTTTGTTTTATCACTTGCATATACTGTTGGGACATTGCAAGTTATTCTGTTATATTTCCATGCACAACAAAATAAATAAATATATATAGTCCTGGTGACAATCTGCCTCTCCTAGCTCGCTGGCACGGGCTGGGGAGAGCACAGAGAGGCAGATTGATGACAGGCACCTAGTAGGCAGGCTTACTACAAATAGCAATTTTTGTCCCGCCTATTTGCCACCCTATGACTCTGAAGTGGAGCACTTTACATAGAGTTTAAAAGTCTGGAGTAGACCCCTAAAGCACTTTGCTTGCTGAAATGCTTAGTGGGTGAAAGGTGTAACTTCTTTTTTTAATTTTTCAAAATTTCATTAGAAATCAGCACTTTTATTAATTAGCCTTGTAACACCCCCTGGCTATGTTACTTCCTGGTTTGGGTAGCTCAGTGGAGCTAACCTCAAGGGGCAGGCAATTGCTTTGATCACATTCCTTGCAAAGGAAGCATCAAACTGACATGACCACTTTGAGAAGGGTGCATGTCATTGATGATGACACAACACACCATCTCATATTGTGCTACTTACTCTTGTGCTACGCCATTAAATGCCCAGACCATTTCTTTTGCCCTAGTCTGGCCCTAGTTGTAGTGGTTATAATGCTTGGAGTGTTTTTTTTTTTTTTTTTTAAAGTTTAATTGCACTGGTGTGTGAAGGTGCTTTTAAATGTGTGAGTGTATTTTTCAGTTTTATTACTTAAAAAAAAATAGTTTTTTCTTTTACAGTATTATGCAATAAGCACTTTCTATAATGATTTTTTTTAATTATTATTTTTTTTAGCTCCAAATAATGTTATTGAAACTTATGCTGAAGTTATCCAGAAGACAAAAGGATTTTAAAATTGCACTCTGCAAAGTGTTTTAAATTACTAAAAGTGACACCTAAAAAGTCTGTGATATACTCCATGCACCTGCACCTCCTTTCTAGTTTATTCATTATTTTTCAGTATATCTTAATTGCACAGAGTTGCATATGCAAAACGTTGACACAATTGTCCATTTAGCATAACAAATGCAGTAAGTAATATGATTTTCTTATTCTGTTTTGCCATTATGCTATTAATTAGCAGTTTGGTATGCATGCTTTCCAATACACACCTTTTCTTTATAAGCAACAGCCCAAAGAGATTCTGAATAAATTATACAACTAGAAAATACATGTTTCATTATTTTTAAAGTTACCAACTGAAGAATGTTCCCAAGTATATGTTGTTCCCCGCCTAGATAAATAATGCTACGAGTTAATATGTTTCAAAGTTACTGGGAACTGTCTGATCAGAAATGCATTCTGAGATTTTCCCTATATATTATTAAATCTCAGGTCAGGTTTGCATTCCAAGAATTGTTTTTCTCCCAGACTGAGTCAGGTAGGTGGAGTATGGCAGGGTTATTCACTAAATTATGAATTGCCAGAACTCAATGTGGATTCAAGGCTCCAATCTGTCCAGCTTTCGGCATGACAGTCGCAATGGTGTGTTTGTATGTAGTTCTAGCTTTTAAATGTAACACATTCTCACTTACATACTATGTGTGTAGCGTTGGTGTTGGAATGAACTATTGTTTGTATATATTTTGATAGAGTGTTTGTTTGTAATGTTTGCATTTTATTGCATGTAGTTTTGGTGTTTGCATGCTGAGCTGTATGCACATGTACATACACACTGCCAAATACATATATACCTTTACAGATATTCATACACATTAAGACACAAAAAAGCACACACATATACATACACTAACATACACACGCACACACATATCATACACTCATAAACACAGATACACACTCACACACAGATGCACAACTGACACATACACACAGATATAGACTCACACAGATACACACATAAATGTAATAATTTTTATATTCTTAGCCACCCTCCAGTTTCCTACCTTTTGGATGTAGGAGGGTGGCTTCTGCTGGCTGGGGTTGGTGAGATTAAGTTCACACCCCCTCCTCTCTGCCTTCTCCTCTCCCTTCTGCGCGGCTTGATGTGTGTTAGCTGGGAGGAAGTGACAGGTTCTCACTTCCTCCTAGCGATATTACAGTGGCTCAGTTGCGCTGTTAAAGCACCGTAGCGTACGATCTGGCCCTTGATGACACATGTCACATGACAAATCCAATAGGTTGAGAGCCAGCTGGGAGGGTGTCGGTTAGCCTGGTGTGCTTCATTTCAGGCTGAAATGCTCCTTTAGTAGATGGGAATGCCCACTGGAGGTGCAGGACTGCCCACCCATGCTTAGGAAGGCCCTTCCACCCATTCTGATTCCGTACCTCTCAATGTGGGGAGGTATGGGATTTCAAACACTGAAAATCACCTAGAATTTGTTTAAACCTTTTTTTCATGTGATGCTTTGTTTTCCTAAAGTTATAGTAAAGATTTAGCAAATGGCAAATGCAAATGCAAAACCAGTTCAAGTAAGGCACATCCAGGGGAAAGATGACAAATAAGAAGGCAAAAAAGAAACGGTGGTGGAGATGTACAAATGGGAACGCAGCAGTTTTTAACGCTACTTTTTTGGCACAATTGCTGTTTTTGTCTTTTTGTTCCCCTGTGTACACATGACATGTCTGCTTTGTGCCTCTTCCACAACTTTTCTCGTATCACTAATTTTCAAAACAAAATACTGTATAAAAATATGATGTATAAAAAAAAAAAAAAAGCTTGTCACTAAGTCTATTCCTGGCAGATTTTCTGCACCACTTCATGTGTGGCAGACACATTTTGAACTTTCTAAAAGCTTTCTAAAATAGTTATTTGAGTCTGATATCAGCAGGTGGCAGCACAATCTCTACGTGGTGTTGAAGGAATTTTTCTTGGGTAAGGCAAGAATATTGAGTTCGTACGTAAAAAAAAAAAAAACATAAGCAAGAGAGAAAGAAAATGTAGTTCATGTCTTGATTTGGGTAGTCTGAATTTTCTTTGCAAACAAATCTGGAAAACCGATAACATTTTAACCTCTTTAACCTGTTGAGTGAGGGAAAGCTGCAGGGAGTAGAGTTCCCCATTTATTAGTTCCGACCAATATCTTGGGCTGTGGGATAGGGGGTACACAGTTTAATAGAGGAACCTTGATCTTGGTGCAGAGTACCCCATTGCACTAACCAATTGCAGGGCAGGTGAGGGGCTAAGGGTGGAAGCAGTGGGGAGTTTAAATGCTGCCTCTTCCATGATTAACCCTCAACTAACCCCTGCGCGCACATTCAAAGTGCCCATAGGAAAGCATTTCTCAATGCTTTCCTATAGACACTCTGCGCGATAGAGGCGATATTCGCCTCCAGCGTCGCAAATGTGGCTGTCCGGAAGACAGCCACTAGAGGCTGGATTAACCCCACATGTAAACATGGCAGTTTCTCTGAAACTGTTATGTTTACATGTGAAGGGTTGAAACCTGAGGGACCTGACAACTGCTGGCAATGGTTAAGGGGCATGGATGGGACCCTGCATCAGAACCCCTTTAAACTATATTCCTTCACTCCTCCTACAGCCAGGGAAAGGAGATTCTACTCGAAAAGATAATAAACAAACTAAAAGCAAGAAGCTGGTAATTCTCTCTTTGTAATTAAATGAAATACAAATTATTGAATTGCATGGACTGAATATGAATTTCAACCAGCAAGCAAATGATTTTTGTTTATTTTGCTTGAAATTTTTCTGTCTGAAAATGAATGCACATATTTAATTATTTTATGTTACAAATGTTCTGGATTCTCTGTCGTGTTAAAGGATCACTATAGTGTCAGGAAAACAAAGCGGTTTTCATGACACTATAGCGCCCTGAGGGTGCACCCACCCACAGGGTCCCCCTCCCGTGGCGCTGAAGGGGTTAAAACCCCTTCAGTTACTTACCTTAATCCAGTGCCGGGCTCCCTCGGTGCTGGTGACCTCTCCTCCTCGTCCGACGTCAGCTCCCCCATCCAACATCACTGGAGCCGAATGCGCATGTGAGGCAAGTGCCGCGCGCGCATTCAAAGTGTCCATAGGAAAGCATTTCTCAATGCTTTCCTATGGACGCTCTGCGCCATGGAGGTGTAATTCGCCTCCAGCGTCACAGCTGCGCCTCTAGTGGCATGTCCGGAAGACAGCCACTAGAGGCTGGATTAACCCCAAATGTAAACATAGTAGTTTCGCTGAAAATGTTATGTTTACATGTGAAGGGTTAAAACCTGAGGGGCCTGGCACCGAGACCACTTCATTGCGCTGAAGTGGTCTGGGTGACTATAGTGTCCCTTTAAGTACAATTTTGAAAGAATCTTCATACACTGCCTGGCGAGGTTTTAAGATAAGTAAAGTTTTGGTTACAGTGATATTTAAGGCTAAGATGTGCTAGAGCAACAAGAGATAGAACATTAGGGCAATTGTAATGGTAAAACTAAGAGTTAGACTGAGAGATTATTATTTTTTTGCCATGTATCATTTTTATTGAGTTCACATGGTGTACGCCAAGTAAAGGCAATAAGCCATATGATTAACACACAAAAAAGTCAGACCCTGGATATAAAACAACTTTAAACCAGTAACATAGTCAGATTGACATATACAATGTACATCCATGTGAACATTTTTAGAAAAGTACTAAGAATTTTTTTTTTTAAATTAAAGAAGAGAAAGAAAAGAGGGGAAGAGGAACAACAGATTAAAGAGAGGAGAGAAGGAGGTAGAAGTGGGGAATATCTGGTAGTCAAGGAGAAAATCCCAGAGAGGCATGAGAGTTAGGGGGCTAACCAGCCAATACAGTGTGAAATAGTTTGAGTTGCCCATTGTGTCTATATTATATTTCTTGATATTGTTTAGTGATGTTGAGGCAATGTTTTACAAACTTCAGTAGCAGAGGTTGAGATAATTTCCAAGCTTAAGTTGCAGAATAAAAACGTGTGGATTTCTACATTGAAGTTATGGAAACATATTCATTAATAGATGTTAGCTGACCACCCTTCACACGTGCAGGAAACATATTCAACAGAAAAATAGTTTTTTTTCTGACTGTAAAACTAATCCAGTTGTGGATTCCACTAGAGATTGGACATCCTTCAAAAAACAGGGAGATGAGAACACGGCAAGAAAACGTGTTTGCAAACGTCCACAAGTAGGGCTATTGGGGACAGATTTTAAACTTGAATATTTATTACATGAGGTTACAATTAGATTACAATAAGGTTTATGGTTAAGGTTAGTTGAGGTTACTTAGGGTTAGGGTAAGAATACGATTTGGGGTTAGGCTAAATTAATCCCTAGCCCTAATATTCACCCTCATCACTACCCTAAATGTTCTAAAACTATACAACACATCCTAATCATACACCCTGACTTTAACCCTAACTTTACATTCCCAGCAGGATTGTGCCTCTTCTATCTGTAGTGGTTATACTACATGACTTATTTTTTAAAATTGCTATACTATGGAAGAATTAAAGCGACACTCAAACTCCATAACAACTTAAATTAATTTAAGCTGTTATGGGGCAGTCATGTCCAGATGCTTTTTTACCTTTAGTTGTTAAACTGTTTGGGGGCTCTTGCACCCAGCACTGCCTCCTAGCTTCATAACTTCCTTCCAAAATAAGTTTGGTATTGTTTGTGCTTTGGTAAAATTGGTATTGTTAAGTGCTCCTTTAAGTTTTTGTTTTCTTGTAAATAAAGTGGAAGAATTAGGGGCATATTCAAAACTTACCCCTAAAACACAACAGTTTTGCAATTTGGAATATGGAAGTTTTAATCAAAATGTTTTTTTTGTTTTTTGTAAGACTCAAGATGGTAGGAGTATTTTGAGTGCTGAAAGAGTAGACAGTATATACCCCCACGCCTCTTTGTCACTCACAATTACTAAAAGACCTGTGTCCCCTTCATTTCTTAATAATACATAGATGAAGAGTGTATTTGTTATTTTTTTGCACTTAAGTCTAATCCTCTATATCACTTATGATCACTGTATCAATACCAGTGTTTACCATGTATTCTTAAAAACAGTTGACGTGCTGGGACAGTCACTCATACTCTATGGAAAGTTTTTGTGACTGCCCCTGCCCACAAAGCACAAAGTGCTTACTGTGCAGGTTACGAGATAGTTGTTAGTAATAGTGCAGTGTATAATTATATAATGCTATCAGGTCTCAACTGAGAATTCTTTTTTCTAAATAAAACAAACAGAGCCATCAATCATCATTGCTGGATGCATAGTGCAATTGCTCCTGGCCAGATTGAGCAATTTCTCCATTTTAACAAGATTTTGTTTCCTATTACAAAATTTATCTATTAGAGTGTTTAGCTGCATTATGTAGCAAAAAGGCAAAAACACAGAATGGAAAAAAGTGTTCAACATGGGTATCAGGGACCCTTTACAGAGATCACATGGAATGCTATGTGGGACTTCTCACATGTGGGACCTCTCCAATATAAAATCATATCCCTGCTGATCTGCTGGAAGGCTCTGCACCAGATTTGATTATCTAAAAATGTAAACCTGCACTCTAACTATAGACAAAAATGTACTATGGGGACGCTTTAATGCACACGTAGCGCTTACAACACATGCACATTAAGTTCCACCCCTTCCGTAATATTGTGGGAGAAGCCCTAACCAGCACCAAGGAATCCGAGTTAGGTCTGAGTGAGAAAGATGTAAGTGGAAAAAAAAGGTTTTAACCTTTTCATGATCAGAGGTTGGGTGACCTGTTAAGTTAGTGCTATAGCGTTCAGAACACAGGTTTGTATTCCTAACTCTATAGTGTTTATTTAATTCCCCCTGATAAATCCAGGGGATTACTCATGTACCTCTGGCAATTTAATTATTAACCTAACTATTCTTCAGGAGGGGTCATGGGCTCTAAGGTCTGATTTCAACAGTATGTCATTTCATTTTAACCCAGAAGCAGAAATATATATATATATATATATATATATATATATATATATATTTACTACATATGGGTACTGTTTTTGAATGTAACAACATATTCATTCTGCATTTACATAGTTGTTGTTATATCTTTACAAGGTATAATTATTACTTAATTATTATTAAAACATTCCTACACTGTGGTTCTTTTCTTCAATCATTTTATATTCATGTTTGCTATAATATAGTTTCCAAAAAATGATGTTTTGCATTACCTTAATGTGTCTGGGTTTGTAAGTTTGCCATTAGGGCCTGGCATTTATATACTTTTAGATTGCAAAGCAAGTTTTGGGTTAGAGCGTACGGTGGGGTTTTGAGAACACTAATTGAAAATTGAAGTGCTTTTGCAAGGCATTGGGAAGCCAATAGCTGTATTTTTTATCATTTGATGGGGAATGGAATGGAGGATATTAAGCAATTTTGTTCAAGAGGTAAGTCTTTAGCTGTTGTGGGACTGCAACCCCTATGATTCCTCTTGTAAATGTTCTTTATAAGTATGTAGACTTCTCACACCTACTGTCAGAAAGTGACATCTGCAGGACAGAATCAGTGTATGGTGAATAAACATGTCCAAACTCAGCTATTTATTTTTCTTTCTATATACCCTAAAATATATTTTCAGTTGCTGTACGCACAGACTCATACAGGCAGCTGCTAAAATAACGTTTTGTTATTGAATGGTTTAGTTTACTTCTTGTTTTCGTCTATTAGATCAGTTGCTTTGTCTCTTGCTTCTTGGCGCCATTTTGCCTTCTTTGCTAGGTTCAGGCTTGTTAATGACTCCTGACGGGCTGCAGCCTATGCAAAAAAAAGGAAATATATATATATATATATATATAAGGAATGACTGGGTTTATTCAATTTTCACATCGACATTCCATTTTTTTCATCCTTGCTTTCACTCTTTATTTCTCCTCCTCTATTCCCTTGCTCAATTTCATTGCTTTACCTTAATTAACAATACCCAATTAGCCTGTGGAAAACATACATGACTGGAAATGTCACAAAATGCTTCTTAATTTACGGTAGACTATACTTTCCATTTATTACAATCTTTTAAACTAAGCATGCTTTTAGATGTTCTCATCTAAAAAAAAAAAACACCTAGAAGAAAAACGACCACAACAAGAGGACATATTCTTAAATTAGAAGGGCAAAGGTTTAAAAATAATATCAGGAAGTATTACTTTACTGAGAGGGTAGTAGATGCATGGAATAGCCTTCCAGCTGAAGTGGTAGATGTTAACACAGTAAAGGAGTTTAAGCATGCGTGGGATATGCATAAGGCTATCCTAACTATAAGATAAGGCAGGGACTAATGAAAGTATTTAGAAAATTGGGCAGACTAGATGGGCCGAATGGTTCTTATCTGCCGTCACATTCTATGTTTCTATGTTACTATCATTCAGCAGATGGTTTTAGGCATCTTTAGATTTTACAGACGAACAGTTGCGAGCATCTAGTCACATGATAAAACCTTCAGTGAAATGAAGCCTGCAATAGAGCTAAAACTGCTTAGTGATTTTTAAATCCTTTAATTCAGATTTGTTTGTTGAGCAATCCAATATGAAATAAAAGCAGGTTTGTTATCTAAAAAATGCAGTGCAACCTTGTACCTTCTTACCTTCTTCCCCGACACAATCACAGCAAAGCAAGCTACGATAGTGAGTCCAATCATGATGTAACAGGCCTTAATCCGTGCTTTGTTTCTAGCTCTCGCCATCATCTCAATTCTAAAATTGAGGGAAAGAAAATCCATTGTGAAGTGCATTTTAGGAGTTCCTTTATTTATTTCATTATTGATTTTAATAAATTTTCAGATTTGCAATCCGGATATGTGCTACAGATAAGGCCGGTAGAAACCCAATTATTTGCTTTAATTTGGTTTAAAGTCAGTGATCCACATTTGGAAATAATTTTCAAACTATAGGTTTCACATATTTCTACAGATCTACTACAGTATGATGCCAATCTGCAAAATAGATCCACCTACTTTTGCAGGCTAGTCCATTTAAATTCACAATGTGTGCTTGCTGGCAGTTCTAAAATCATACACTCACTCCCTTGTCTGCTGTGATCCAGTGGTCTTTTGTCTTGTATCGATACCAGCTGTAGAGCAAGGTTGAAGCTGCTTTCTACATCAGCTTTAATTAATGTAGTTATAGTGTGAGCACCTGTGCTATTTGTAATGCATGTTTTAGGAAAATACATTATCAGAATATTATTAAACAGTCAGTGCCAGAACTGCCTTAACAGAGAAGAGAATCTTGCTCTCCAACATCTCTTCAAGTCATACATCTATGGAAGTTGTATTGGGCAACCACACACATATTGAGAGGAAACAATTTGGCATCCAGGAAGGGACCATCCTTTTTGCAAGCAATAGCATACACAAACATCCCTGCAGCCCATGTTCTGATGGAAATTTATGATTCTAATAGTCAAGACTATTTCTAACGAGAGATATATGGGGCAGCTGCCCCAGGCCCAGTTACTTCTAGGGGGCCCAAAGCAGCTGCCCTATGGGCCCCCTGCCCACAACCAAGACAGAACAGCCCACAGGGATAATGAAAAATTTCCTGGTGGGCTGCGGCAAGTGAAGTAATCAGGAGCCCCAGGCCCTTTAAAGGACCACTCTAGTCACCCAGACCACTTCAGCTTAATGAAGTGGTCTGGGTGCCAGGTTAACCCATTTTTTTTATAAACATAGCAGTTTCAGAGAAACTGCTATGTTTATGAATGGGTTAAGCCTTCCCCCAAAGCCTCTAGCGGCTGTCTCATTGACAGCCGCTAGAGGCGCTTGCATGCTTCTCACTGTGAAAATCACAGTGAGAGCACGCAAGCGTCCATAGGAAAACATTGATAATTGATAATGCTTTCCTATGCGACCGGCTGAATGCGCGCGCAGCTCTTGCTGCGCGTGCGCATTCAGCCGACGGGGAGGATCGGAGGCAGAGAGCTTCCCTCCCAGCGCTGGAAAAAGGTACGTTTTACCCCTTTTCCCCTTTACAGAGGGTGGGGGCACCCTCAGGGCACTATAGTGCCAGGAAAACGAGTATGTTTTCCTGGCACTATAGTGTTCCTTTAAGAGTGCTGTGGACCAGCCCCTGTCTTCGTGCCTGCTGGGAGTAAGTAAGGTGAGATCACTTCCTCCCACGTAACAGTAACTAAGTGCCGCTGGGGAGGAGGAGGCACACATGGAGGAGGAGAGGGACTGAGTTAGCCAAGTTCTTCAGATTCCCATCAACATCGTCAATCCAGCTCCCACTTGACCCCAGGGAAGCCACCATTCTTTAAAGGTAAAGAGACATGAGGGTAGCTAAAATGTGTCAATTGATGTTTATATGTGTTTGTACCTGGCTGTGTGTGTATCTGACTATATGCATGTATCTGGCTGTGTGTGTGTGTCAGTGTTTGTATCTGACTGTATGTGTGTATCTGGCTGTGTGTGTATCTGACTGTGTGTGTGTATCTTGCTGTGTGTGTGTGTGTATCTGGCTGTTTGTGTTGATGTGTGTATGTTGCTGTTTGTGTCTGTGCGTGTTTCTGACTGAATGTGAGTATCTGGCTGTAATTTGTGTGCCTGTGTTTATCTGGCTGTGTTTGTGACAGTGTGTGTAACTGACTGTGTGTGTATCTGGCTGTATTTGTGTCAGTGTGTGTATCTGACTGTGTCTGTGTATCTGGCTGTGTTTGTGTCAGTGTATGTGTACCTTTGTGTCCATTTTATGTGTACCTGTGTGTCAGTGTGTATGTGTATATGTGTGTATGTATACCTGTGTGTATATACTTGTGTTTCAATTTGTATGTGTACCTGTGTGTGTATATGTGTAAATGTGTATCCATGCATGTGGCAATGCATACATCCCATCATTCCAGTACCATCACTGCACACAAATAAACTACTACATTCCAGCGCTAACATTGCACACAAATATATGCCTGCATTACAACACTAACACTGCACACAAATATACCAATGCATGTGTATCTGTGTTCTTGTTTCTACCTCAGTGTTTGTGTAAGTGTGCATCTGTGTGTGTGGCAATGCATACATCCTAACATTCCTACATCAATAGTGCACACAAATACACCCCTGCATGTGTACCTCTGTGTACGTGTACCTGTGTGTTGGTGTGTATCTTAATGTGTGTACATATCTGTGTCAGTGTGGGTACGTGTGTATCTATGTCAGTGGATGTGCCAGTGTTTTTATCTCTGTGTGTGTGCATCAGTGCGTATATCAAAGTGTCTGTGTGTGTGTATGTAGGTGTCTCTGTGTGTATACACCAGTCTGTTTGTGTCAGTGTGTGCATTTGTCCAGATGTGTGCATGTATCAGTGTATTTGTGTATATCGCGTGCTAATGTGTTTGTATATCTGTGAATGCCTGTGCATAAATCCCAGCAATCAAACACAACATGCAAACACACACCTGCAAACACAAACATTACTTACAAACACAAACCTGAATTTAAACTCAAAAAGTATGTAGAAACACACCCCTTCACTTAAACACCAATACTACACCCTACATGCACACACATACTCTATACAACAACACGCTCACATTCAAATTAACAAACACTGCTCACAAATACAGCCCTGCAAGAATGGTTAAATGGTAGATCCCCAGCTGGCATAGCAACGTGGGAGTTGTACAAAAGATGAGGATCTATCTTTTTTCCACTCCTGCGCAAGAGGGGAGGCCCAAAAAAATGTCTTGCATTAGGGCCCTCTCTACATTAGTTCTGCCACTGTTTTGGGGTGGAGGGCATGATTGCATGCCATTGGGTGGACATGTGGGGGGGAGGCCCTAATAATAGTGATTGTTTATTATGTAATGTGAAAGAGTGTATTTACAAAACTTATATACATATGCATCTATATAATTCCAACTTTTACTAGCTTTAGTGACATTAAAGGGACACTCCAGGCAACTCTGGGTGCCAACTCCCAACACCCTTAACCCTGC